TGTCCCCCCACGTCCCCAGTGTCCCCGATGTCCCCCCACGTCCCCAGGTCACTGATGGTTTCCCGGTTCCTTGCAGAAACTGGAGGGCTCCAAGTGCCGGGGGCAGCTCCTCATCTTCGGAGCCACCAACTGGGACTTGATCGGCCGCAAAGAAGTGCCTAAGCAGCAAGGTGAGGGGGGCTGGGGCTCCTGCAAAGCAAAATATGCTGCTTTTTTATGCATTTATACGTTAATTAATTTATTTCGGCTTATTTTTATGCATTTATATATTTTATTTCTTTAATTAATATTTTGGGGGTTTTTTTAAACCAGTTGCATGTTGTAATCTGGGATGCGGGGTGCGCTGGGTATCCTGCAAAGCAAACTAAACGCATTGCTTATTTTTTATGCCTTTATATTTAATTCATTTTTTCTGCTTATTTTTATGCATAAATATTTAACTAATTTTTAATGAATTAATATTTTTGGAGGGGGTTTTTTTACACTTGCGTAGCATAATCTGGGCCAGACCTTGGAGTGCGCTGGATCTCCTGCAAAGCAAAATAAACGCGCTGCTTACTTTTTATGCATTTATATTTAATTTTTTTTCTGCTTATTTTCTGCACCTTCATATTTAATTAAAATTTTTTATTAATTAATTTTTAAAATTTTTTTTTTAAATACAGTTGCATATCGTAATCTGGGCCAGAACTTGTGGGGGCCGCACAGGTACGGATGTCTCTCAGGTATTCAGGTGCGGAGCGTGGTTTCGGGACCCTGCGCTGCTCACAGCCTGCTCATCACCGCCGAGGGCAAGCTCTGGAGCTGGGGTGAGCGGTTTGGGGGAGGTACCCCCCTCAAAAAAAAAAAAAAAAAAAAGATCATGCCGCCATGCCAGGAGGTTTCGTCCTCCTGTTTTGCTGCGAAAAATCACAATTTTTGGCTAGGTCGCAATGAAAAAGGGCAATTGGGCCACGGGGACACGAAGCGGGTGGAAGCCCCGAAGCTCATCGAGGTGCTGGGGGGCGAAGCCATCGTGCTGGCAGCCTGCGGCCGTAACCACACTCTGGCACTTACAGGTATTGAGGGAGGGGAAAAAAACTCAAAATGGGCTGAAATCGGCCCATTTTGCCCCAAAAACGCCTTTTCTTTTTTTTTATTTTGATGTTGCAGAAAGCGGCTCGGTGTTCGCCTTCGGGGAGAATAAAATGGGGCAGCTGGGGCTGGGGAACCAGACGGACGCCGTGCCCAGCCCTACGCAGGTATCGCCATTCCCCTCCTGGGGTTTGGGTGCAAAACTGGCAGATATGGGGGTTTTTTTCTCATTGAAAAAAATTCCTAGAAGAGCTCAAACCCTTTAGGATGCAAGGACATCCCTCTTGGGGAGGGAGTCATTTCTGGCTGTGGTGGGAAAATAAATGGCAAGAGTTTAAAATAAAATGCAAGAATTTAAAATAAACGGCAAGAATGTCAAATAAAACCCAGGATTTGGGGATTTCCCCAGGGAAATTCAGCTTTTTGCCTTTTTTCTCGAGTTTTTGGTGGGGGCTTTTTTTTCAACCCCTTTTTCTGCTTCTCCTGCAGATCATGTACAACGGGCAGCCCATCACCAAACTGGCTTGCGGGGCCGAATTCAGCATGATCATGGATTGCAAAGGAAACCTCTACTCCTTCGGGTGCCCTGAGTACGGGCAGCTGGGTACGGTGCTGTTTTGGGGCGCTTTGCTAAAATTTTGCGCTATTGTGGGGTTGGGGAAAAAAACCCCGCCCTGCCTCAGTTTCCCCATCTGGGCAACTGAAGCATCGCTTGACCTCCAGCAAAAAGAGGGGGGTGGGAGCTGCAAATAACAAGGGGGTTGCAAGAGGAGAGGGGGTTTCTGCAGCTGGCTTGGAAATAATGGGGCGCAGGGAGGGGGGACACCCCGTTTTCATCCCGGCGCTTGTCGGCAGGGCATAATTCGGATGGGAAATTCATCGCCCGGGCGCAGCGGATAGAGTACGACTGCGAGCTGGTGCCGCGCCGTGTGGCCATCTTCATCGAGAAGACCAAAGATGGGCAGATCCTGCCCGTCCCCAACGTGGTGGTGCGGGACGTGGCGTGCGGGGCCAACCACACGGTACGCGTGAATATTTGCGGCACGCGTTAATTGCGAAAGATTTGCAGCATGCGTTTGAGGGGAAGCCTTTGCAGGAGCGTGTAAGGCTAAATGTTTGCAGGGTGTACGTAAGGATAAACGTTTGCAGGGCGCATTTAAGGCTAGAGAGTTTTAGCATGCGTTTTAGGATAAATGCAGCATGCACGTAAGGATAAAGTTTTGCAGCATGCACATAAGGAGAAATACTTGCAGTGTGCATTTAAGGATAGAGGTTTGCAGCGTGCATTTGAGGATCATGATTTGCAGTGTGCATATAAGGATAAGTATTTGTAGTATACATTTAAGGATAAAGTTTTGCCGTATGCACGTTAAGGATGAAGATTTGCAGCATGCATTTAAGGGTCGAGATTTGCAGCATGCATTTAAGGATAAAGTTTTGCAGCATGCATATAAGCAGAGAGGTTTGCAGTGTGCATTTATGGATAGAGATTTGCGTTGTGCATATAAGGATAAATACCTGCAGCGTGCGCTTTAGGATAGAGATTTGCAGCGTGCATATCAGGATAAATATTTGCAGTGTGCGTTTAAGGATGAATACATGCAGCGTGCATTTAAGGCTAAAGATTGGCGGAGTGCATTTAAGGACAGAGGTTTGGAGAGTGCATTTAAGGATAAATATTTGCAGGGTGCATTTAAGGACAGAAATTTGCAGAGTGCATTTAAGGATAAATAATTGCAGCGCGCATTTAGCATTTGCAATACTCGCTGCAATCGCTGCTGTTTATTGTGGCTGCGGCAGTTTTCCCTGCGCTGAACTGGTCAGGTCTCAGCTGCTCATGGTGTCGGGGGATATTTCTCCATTCCCAGCTCGTCCTGGACTCGCAGAAGCGCGTTTTCTCCTGGGGATTTGGGGGCTACGGGCGGCTGGGCCATGCCGAGCAGAAGGACGAGATGGTGCCGCGGCTGGTCAAGCTCTTCGACTTCCCGGGGCGCGGGGCGGCGCAGATCTACGCCGGCTACACGTGCTCCTTCGCCGTCAGCGAGACAGGTCGGGATTTGGGCGTTTTAAAGCAAAATCCGTCGTTATTTGGAGCGGTTTGGGGGATGCTCAGGGCATGCCGTAGTTTGACGGGCAATGTCGGGGCTTTGCAGGCGGCTTGTTTTTTTGGGGTGCCACCAACACCTCCCGGGAGTCCACCATGTACCCCAAAGCCGTGCAGGACCTCTGCGGCTGGAAAATCCGCAGCCTAGCCTGTGGGTAAGTCCAAGGACCTCTCCCCCCAGAAACCCCACCCTAATTTCTTGGGGTTTTGGGGTGCAGCCTCCTGCGGGGCAGCTCGGTGGGGGGGGCACAGGGTCACCCTGCCTTGCACCCCGCTGCAGGAAGAGCAGCATCATCGTGGCGGCAGATGAGAGCACCATCAGCTGGGGTCCCTCGCCCACCTTCGGGGAACTGGTAAGAAGGATTTACTGGGGACCCCCAACCCCTTGACACCCCAAAACCTCCCCCCCAGCCACTAGCGGGAGGGACCGGCTGCTTCCCACCCCCTCCACTGATTTTCCCCCCTCTCCATGGGATGCACTCGGCAGGGCTACGGGGACCACAAGCCCAAATCCTCAACAGCCGCCCAAGAGGTGAAGACCCTAGATGGGATCTACACGGAGCAGGTGAATGGGGGACCCCACCAGAGGATGCTGGAGGGAGGGCACGTGGACACCCACCCCCCCCGCCTTAAATAAATACAGCAGCTGAGGCTGTACACAACTCATCACACCCATGGGCTGCTGGAGGGAGGGCGTGTGGGGGCCCCCCCCTTAAATAAATGCAGTGGCTGAGGCTGTATACAACTCATCACACCCCATGGGATGCTCAAACACAGTCCCGGATAAAAGTAGGTGGGGGAAAAAGCAGAAGGGAACAAGGCGCGTGGGCCCGTGCCTCAGTTTCCCCACTTTGCCCTCATCCCAGGTGGCCATGGGCTATGCCCACTCGCTGGTGATCGCCCGCGACGAGACCGACACCGAAAAAGAGAAGCTCCGCAAGCTGCCCGAATACAACCCCCGCACCATCTGAGGGGCTCCCACCCAAACTGGGACCTGGGATCCCCCCCCCCAAAAACCCCGCTTTTCCAAGCCAGCCGCGGTTTTAACTACCTGTTCTCCCATTTCCAAAGCCTTGGGAGTTTTTATTCCCCCCCCTCCCCTGGCTTTTTGAGTTCCCGACCGTAGCAGGATCTTTTGGCACATCCAGGCTTATTTGGGGGGGGGGGGGTGTATTTTTTTAATTATTTTAATTTTATTTGTATTTTTCTGCATCACTTTTTATTATTTCCCCTTTTCCCAGCCGCAAATAACCCCAGCCATGGGCTTGGGGTAAAATTGGGGACCTGAAGAGTAGCTGCAAAACACCTCTTTTTCCCCGATATCCAATTTTTTGGCATTTTTCCCAAATACCCCCCACTTTGGGTGCTATAATTTTGGGGGGGGTTCCCCCCTCCTCCAGCATCCCTTTTCCCGGAGGGATTCAGGATATGGATGTCATCCCACATTCCCCAAGGGCCAAACCTATCCCCAGCATCATTTTGGGGTTCCCCTCCCCGCTATCGCAGCCCTCGCCCACCCCAGGGCGATCTCAGGTATGAAGAGGGGAGCCCTAAAGCATCGCGTAAGCTTTTTCTTGGAATTCTTCTTAATCTGTTTTAGTTACTATTAATTATTTCCACCTGGTATCAGCCCAAAGTCCCTCCTACAACGCTGTGCACTGTGCTGGAGAAACGAGGTGCCTTTTCGAGCAGAGCCCAGCTCTGCCTCCACGCAACCCAAGGGTGATTTTTTTAATTTTTATTTTGGAATTTGGAGGGTTTATTTTGAATTATTTTTTATTCTTTTTTTTAAAGTCCTTTCCGCTCTCCCCAACGGGTCGCACTGGGTGCTCGGGGGCGGCGTTCGCACCCGTTCGGGGAGTTTTGCAGTAAAAAAAGGGGGGGGGGGGGGGTTCATTTGCTTTGGGGTTGGGGGTTATTTTGGGGGTTTTTGGGGGTGTGTTAGAGATAAAATATCCAGGACAGGGAGAGCAGCTGGGCGGAAAAGTCAAATATTCCGCTTTTTTAGCAATATTAGGTTTTTTGGGGTTGTGGCACAAGTGGGTGCCGCGGCCCCAGTTAAACAGGGGGTGGAGAAATCACCAAAACCCCACTTTTACCTGCCCCAAAAGCATCATTTTGGTTCATCCTGCCCACCAGCAAAATAATTTGTAGCCTGATTAAACTTCTCCCCCCTCGGCCGCCCTGTTCCGGCCACGGGCAAGCGAAGGAGGAGGCTCAAGGAAAAAAAGAATCCTGAACCACGAGGATCTCAGAACAACTCGTCCTTTAGCAGAGGGTCCTGGGTTAGTGCTGTAATTGTCTTCTTCATGGTTTTTTTTTTATATTTCTTGGAGTAAATGTTTAAATAAACGACGTCATTGTGTACACCCCTCGCTCCGCTCGCTTTATCCACCCCTATTTTATTTCTTTTTAATTTAAATTTAATTAATTTAACCAAAGAGACATGTGCAGGGGATGCTTTTCCCTCCCCGTGATGCACGCCCAGCAGCCCCAAAAGCAAATCCACAGCCATTGGAGGGCACCATCCTGCTGCCGACAGCATCCTCCATCCCGAAATACCCCCCCACCCCCAACACTTCCCTTTAATATTTCACAAGCAGGGTGCAAACACGGGGCAATGCATGCATATCTGAGTATTAATGCATGCTTGTGTGGTTTTGTGCATGCAAGTGGATTTTTGCGCGTGCGTGGTTTTGTGCATGCACCTGTCTATAGGGGCATGCGTGCATGTTTTTCTGCATGCATGTGCCATGGGTTTGCATGCACGTGTATTTTTTTGCATGTCTATTTCTGTGCACACGTGCATGTGCGTTTTTCTGTGCATGTAGTTTTGTGCATGCGCATACATTTTTGTGCGTGCATATCTGCAGGCACACATAGCCTTGCGCGCGTGTGGTTTGGGGCATGCACACGTGTGTTTCTGCACATGCATTTTTGCACACCCATCACTGCAGCAAGACAGAGGACTGTATAACCCTACTCACTGCTTTTTTCCGCCCACCATTTAACCATTTTAATTTTAACTGCTGTGCTGGGACAGCAATGCCCATGTGCCGTACCACCAGAGAGTGAAAAAAACCGTCTTCCCGTTTAAAACAAAGCTTCAAACCTTGCACCCAAGCAAGAGGGAGGCCAGGAGAAAGCTGCAGCCCTTTTTATTTCAACGCCACCGCTGAAGGCACTTGCAGGGTTGGGGAGAGGGATTTGGGGAGGAGGAAGGAGGAACATGGGTGCTGAAGCCACTTCAGGGCACCATGTGCCACCATTTGAAGGCGAAGGGCTTACGGCGGACGTTGGTGCCGCAGTGGACCTCCCCGGAGAGGACGTGGTAGGAGAAATAGTCGTCGATGAAGGTGCAGGTGAGGCCCAGGGGCTCCAGCAGCGCCCGCACCCGCTCCTCCAGGCAGCACTGCCCACCCACCAGTGGTCCAAAGGGTTTGGGGATGCCCAGGTGTCTGCCCAGCACCAGCATGTTCACCTGCAGCACAGGGATGCTGGTAAGAGCGCAAATCCCACCCCAAAAATTCACATCCCTCCGGGGGGAGGATGATGAGCATTACCATGTCGGGGAAGAAGGCTTCGGCGCCGGTGGCCACGTTGCCTCGGAAAAGCTGGGGGATGTCAAGGATGTCCGACTCGGCCAGCCCCAGCGCCCGCTTTAGGATGTCCCGGTTCCAGTTGATGCAGCTCTGATGGGAGGGAGGGGAGAGGGGTCAGCCGGGGTGGGGAGGGAGATGGACAGACAGATGGAGGGAGGAATGGGTGGATGGATGGAGGGAGGGAGGGAGAGATGGAGGGACAAAGGGAGGGATGGGCAGAGGGATGGGTGGACAAATTGAGGACGAATGGGTGGCTGGATGGAGGGACAGGTAAGAAGGAGGGACAACGGGATGGAGAGAGGGGGGTGGGGGGAGGAATGGACAAAGGGATAGAGGGATGGAGAGGATGGGTGGACAAATCGGACAGAGGAAGGGGGGGATGGAGGGACAGAGACAGGGGTGAACAGAGAGAGGGAGGGAAGAATGGAGGGATGGAAGGACACAAAGGAGGGATGGAAAGGAGCCCCCTGCCCCCCTTCCTCACCTGGACATAATTATTGAATTTCCGGAGACCTTCATTAGCCAGAATCTCGTTGATCGTTGGCTTGGACACCTCCTTTAGTCCTGCAGCACAGATAACCAGGCAGGAATTCTTTCCCCCATGCGTTTGGGATGAGACTCCCAGGTCTGAGCCAGGAGCTCCCCTCTTTCAGGGGTCACTGGCAGCAAGCTCCATCCCAACCCAGGAAATCAAATCTGTGCAGCTTTTTAATTAATTCTGCTTAATTTTGCCCCCCATCCTTGCTGCTGGCAGCACTTTCCAGCCATTAGCTGGGTTTTGTGGTGTTGTGCATTCACCTGCCCCATTGCATTTTGCAGGAAAAAGGGAAAATGAACCTATCAAGCCCAGTTTTTCGTCCTCCGCCCTACCCTCAAACATCACCGCCTCGCCGAATCCCTCCTCTTGCTTCTCCTTGAGGAGCTGGTAGCAGGCACTGGGGCTGGCCAGGAGAAGCCGAAAACCCTGGGGAGGGAAAAAAGGGATGATTGGGGGGCAGGGGGGTTGTATAAGGTTGCACCCCACTTTTTCTCTGCCCCTGGGACTCGTTACCTTCCGATCGGGCGCGGGAACGAAGCTGAGAAACTCATCTACATGGCCGACGAGGAGCCAGTCCGAAAACAGCTCCACCGGCGCCTGCACTTGTTGGGCAACGAGAAAATCCTTGACAGCTTTTGCCATCCGTCGGCCGCCGAATCTGTGAGGGGCACAAGGGGGGAGCTGCCATTTTGGGGTGCCCAAGGTGATGCTCTACTTGCAACCAACCTCAAATGCTGCATAAAAATCCTTTGCGGGGGGGGGGAGGTGTCCAGTGCTCTGACCCCTCCATCCTGCATCTCACCTGGGGAAGCTGCTGCCGATCAGGATGCGGCCCAAGGGGTACTCCTTGCCCTGCACTGTCACGGGGGGGCTCACCTCCAAATTACCAAAGGAATCGAGGCTGGAAGCACCCTCTGGTGCTTGCCGGGCCACATAACCAAAATCGGGGCCCTGGATGGGGTAAAAAAAGGCAATAATAGTTAAAAAAAGGCGATAATGGTTTAAAAAAAGCCATAAGCACCCAAAGTGCAGCACTCCTAAATCACCCTCCATGCTGGCTCTTCCCTTCCCAAAAAAGCAAGAAAAAAATAGATTTATTCTTTTTTTTTTTTTTTTATGGGTTTGCAAAGCTTTATGCCTTGCTGGGGGAGGGAGGAGGAAGGAGTCAGGTACCAGGATGCTCTTGACGGGGAAATTCTTCAGCCCCTGATCACGGGGTGAGTCGAAGACGACGGGGAAGGTCTTGTGGGGGGCTTGCACGTAGCCAAATTCAACCTCGTCCTGCAGAAGGGATGGAAAAGATGGGGGGAAGCCCCCCTGGAGCTGCTGCAGTGAGGATGGGGCTGGGCATCATCCTGCACCCACCTGGATCCAGCGGTCCTGGCGGTTCTCCAGCAGCGGGCAGACGGTGAGTGGGCATTTGGTTTTCTCAGCCATGGCACCCACGGCCGCCACAAAATCCTCATTGTTGTCCACGCTGGGAAGAAAAATGGCATATGGGAGTTGATCCAGCACCGGGCAGGATGCAGCCACCCACGCAGCACCTACCTGCAGACAAAGACCTCCAAGGGTGCTGCTGTGTTGGGGGTCATGATCCATGGAGCCACGCGGAAAACCACCGTGTCAGTGAAAATCGGAGTCTCCAGCAAACCCTGCGATGGTGGGGGGACAGCATTTGGGCTCTGCTCCCCCCCATTATGGCTCACCCTGACCCCCCACGCAGCTGGTACCTTCTCGGGGCTCTCCAGCAACGTGACGTGGAAAGCCACCAGCCCCGAAAAGTCGACGTCGGGGAAGGTGAGCCCTTCCACATAGAAGATGCTCTCCTCCT